TATAGATATCAACGATGACTCTATGTAACGATATATGTGCATATAAGCGTAACTATAAGAATATATGTATGTATGTACGTATTTAGTTGTCGAAAACATGTAGATTAGATAAAATATCTATCTATACACACGCATATATATATGTAGATAAACAAAACTCTAGCACACACTATTGTGCTATGAAAAGGTAGATGATAACTGCATGTACATACGCATGTATATAAGCACAATACATCAGCCTTGATGGGATGCATTCTATACTTACCAATAACGGTGGTCGTTAGCGCAGAGTTGACCTTCGTGCAGTGGAAGATGGAGAAGTTGAGGACAAAGCCCATCACCGAAGCACCAACAAAGTAGAAGAGAAAATAGAAGTTACCCCAGTCGGCGAACTCAACTACACTGCCCCACTCACCCTATTACAAAACAAGTGCGTTGCGGATGAGAAGAAAGGTATGGCTCAGAAATTGTTCAGAGCTGATATGGAACGATTGATGATAACTTTTGGCTGTCGAAGCATTGTATTTTTGGGTTATACGATTTTTGACAATAAAACCGAAACGATGAAACTGATATCAAAACGATATGTCCATTCCGATGAGAGATTAAGGTGGAAGTGGTGCAACTGCAGTGCCATAAAGCTCTTGAGATTGTAGTTGCACTAGTAAAGCTGCTACTACGATGTAGTAGACATTGCTGGCATACTGACACACACGCTTCAACTATCGTTATATAATCTAATGCTACACATTTTTGTGTGATAAGCTGTATAAATGGGAGCACATTTGGAACAGTCACATTTAACTAGCTCATGCAGCTGTCGATGTGCCGAGTGCTATACATGGTTGTGTATTTCAGAGTGATTATAATGCTTCCATTGTATGACCTCATTAACAGTTCCGCCAAAAATCGACCAAGTAGACTGCCATATTTACTTGATAGCGCATATGGAGTATCACATGTGTATGAAAGTTTCAGTTGTCAGACGAATACATACCCAGAAGTGCAATAAGCAAACACAGTCATAGTATCTACTTTCTGCTTCCGAACACTCATTACGCACCAATTTTCATACAAACATCCCGAGAAAGCTACCGCACAGCCGTTGAAAATAAACGAGGATACACGCGGGTACACAAATCAAACCAGTATACGCTAATAATATGTACAGGAGAAAAGGGGGAGGGAAAAGAAGTCAGTCAAACACTATTTGACGGCAAGTACCGCATGTTATCTATTAAACAACGAACTACCTAGACTGCAAATCTTGATGGTAACACATATTTGCGCAGAAAAATTAGTATATATATAGCATATACCATATAGTATATATCATAACATATAGTATATATCATAACATATATATATATATATATATATATATATATATATAAAAACATATATATATATATATATAGTATGGATACAGACATATATCATATACATATAATGACATATCCATATTACCCATAGGAACGTCAAGAAACATACCTGGTACACAAAGATGAACAGCAGCAAGGGGAACGAAAACAATGTATTGTAGTACATCAGTCCGAAGGTGCCCAGCTCCTTGCTCTCGAGCTTTTTCTTGATTACCACGCCATTAGCCGCTGTTGCCAGATTGTTGATCATGATAAATGTGTAACCCGCCATATCGAACGAGAGATCGTCTACTGCGGCCACCAGAGCACCAAAAACCATAAGGAAGACACAGAACTTGACATTGCGGGAAGATACGTTGCCTAGCAACCACTGTTTGAAAAGGAAGAGATGACGGGTCCGTCAGAGATACATAGAGGTTGAGAATGCTTCATCTAGTAGCCACTCACGAGAGTAATATTAGGGCTCGGTGAACAGCATGGGAACGTAAATTCCTGCATAGACGTGTCGTTTTGTGGCACAATCACAATCACTGAAATCACAACCGCAACCCAAAAAGGTCCTTGCACTAATAAAAGATCACAGCTATATAGTCAGTTGCGAATTGGATGCATTGTATGGAGACAGCCACATGTGACACACTCTTGTAAGCCGTGCGCCCTATCGCAAATAAACTGCAAGACTTGCATAGAGGGTTAAGATAGATAGTATATAAAGATCAAGTCGCACTCAGAGTCAAAGAATACGCTTTAGCTTCTGTTAGACATATTGGTTTCCCGAATCATCCGAATACAGACCACGAGATATAAGTGTGATAGGATTCTAAGGTCAAGAACGCCTGCGCGTCAGTCAGGGCGAGCCACAATGATTTCAATTGACGCATTAGATTTTCATATGACTGTCTACATCGATCACGAGAGCAATAATACATATACAGCACCTGAAAGTACGCCTATGTGTGTTCATGTATAAAGACACAGACTTGAAATTCAGAATGCATGCGCGAGCTGTGTGATGCGGTTCGATGTGTAAGAGTTCCCTGGCTGACAATGTCGTTTAGTCATATGTGTGCATTGTAACACATTTAAGCGGCCTACTGGACGCTCAGGAGGCCGTATCTGAGATTTAAATATATTGAGCTTTGCACTGAACAAGGGCGTGCTGAAGTACAGCCTGCGGAATAAAGTCTACCACTAGTCCATGACCTCGTGTTTCGTGGTATAGCATTAGTATGTCACGCAGCCATACTAATAGGCACACGTGCAACGCTCATACTTGACTTCTATTCTAATTAAGAAGAATTAGATACATACCCCTTCCAGAATCATAGTGAACACAATGCTGAATCGTCTAAGCACCGTGAACATTGGGATACTGATCTTCTGTGTGCCGCCCAGGCCAGTCAGCGTATTCAACATAAAGATGAAAGGTAGAGGGAACACCTTCCAAAAGTGCTTCCTGAGAGGCGATCGAAGTGAATGCATAAGACATGCTGTAGAAGAGCGAATTTATAAACAAATAGCTTCGCTAAACATTGATTTTATGTGTCAGAAATACGGAGAATTGCACTCAGGGGCTAAACAATACTAATACCAAGCAGTGAACGTTTGTAGCAATCAGCAACCAGAGAGGAAGTCTGTAATTACAAATTGAACATGAACAACTCCTTTGTCTTGCGAATGGAAAATATATTTCGTAAACTCACTTATGCTTATATAGGATATATCTATACACATACAAGCAAGGTGATGAAAGAAAATTGTATGCCGGACAAGATTTCTCAAACATGTACGTTGAGTCCCGGCATATTCCAACAATATATAGTATAGCTGAATTGTCGTTTACATATGTACGATATGGTTAATGCACATGCACGGTATAGTTTATAGTTTATGTTTACAATCCGAATGTCTCGGGGTACATATATAATTACAACATCAAACACGCACCGACTTCTTTCTACAGGTGAAGCATAGAAAGTGAATAACTTAAACAATATGTCGCAGCGAATCCCACAATACGAACAACGCGTACATGCCATGTCGATTTTACCCCTAAACAGATCCTTCTGACGCCCAGTACGCAGTATACAATATTCTTGTTGGATCTAGAAGGATACTGGGATACAACACAAGTCGTGCACATGGTCTAAGCCATACAATCGCGACACCACTATAACCCAGCAGATGGTATTGGTACATGTACAAGTATTTATAGCGTGTACCACGTATATGAAATACATACATGTCGAAATCGGGATATGTAATCAAATTTGTCGTTTTTCCGGCCTCCAGACAGAAGATTGTGGCCACAAACTGGCACAGCGCGAGAAACAAGAAAGATGGGAAGTGGTATGATGTGAGCACAATCTTGTTCATGAACATGATGGAGAAGGAAGTAGTGGCATAGAACATGCCGGCCAGACCCTGTTGGCGCATGGTCGGGCCGACCTCGCTGTCCTTTCGGTGTATAGTCTGAGACATATTGGGGGCAACCATGTAGTCAAGTGTAAACGGTGAGGATCAAGATTGTAGTCAACCTCGTCGATAACTAATCTCTTCGTGTCTTTAGGCTTGATATCTTACACGTAAGTATGAGAATGCTCAACTTAAAGGTAACTGTCTGTATATAAGAGATATACTGTACATACATTTGTACAATTTTTTATTCCTATGCTCTATACACAAGTATAACTCGTCAGTGCAGTTTTGGTTTTTGGATGATGGTTTTTGGATTTGAACAAACGTTTTTATCGTATTTGACATGATTTGAGAATACTTTCGAAGCTGACAAATTCGGGGCATCCTAAAAGCCCTGAGTAGTAAGTGATTGCTAATCCAAATGTTTATCCTACTGAACCTAAAATCTTTTTTTAATTTGGAAACACCACTTCCTCAAAATAACGGAGTTGTAGCGATAACAGTGGCCAATACCGTGCCAGTGATCCTTTTCTATCGGGCATCTCTGTGGCTAATACCGATTTTAGTATAAAAATGTTGGCAAATTTTTACCTAGTAATAAAGAGTTTTCCACCAATAGTCATGCCGTAATAAACGCAACGTGACTGAACTCTGCATTATGTATTGATAATAAGCTAAGACGGAAATCGGAGGTGTATATAACTTGAATTGTTACTTGCGGAACAAGTCAACAAGGGGTTATCTTTTATCACTTGTATCTCCATTTCATGTGCAGTACTGACATGTCCGATGATCAGAGTCATTGAGACCGTGACTCTCTGACGACTTGAACTTCTGGACGTCTCCCCATAGAAGTCTTCCTCTCTAAGAAGAGTAGAGGGCTTAGGATCTCCGTTCGAAATATTCCAAGGAACACTTTATACAAATAAATTACTAATAAATAATTGATTCACGAGTCCCCTTTCACCGTCTTCACTGACGACCTGTCATTGTGTATCAGTAAGTTTTGTTTTTTCTTATCATTTGATGCTCAATACAATTTAATCACTCGCAGGCAGATCACTATTATAATCTGCAACATCATCTCACCTGAACGCAACTCCCCAAATGCAGCCTGAAATGAACCTGTGCACTATTCAACGCCCTGGAACAACGATACACGTTTCAAGACCAATGAGGATCGGTATATTTTTGTATATTCAGCATAAAAACCATATGCTGCAGTCGGATGTACATCACCTTACTTCAAACCTGGACTTTAACAGAGCATGGAACTCGAAGTAGTGACCCTATTGAGAATATAGATAGCGGAAATGGCTTGTACTGACCTGCTCTTGAAAATCACCTGGACACTTTTTCGAGAAAAAAAAGTTTGGTTCGAGCTCCGCCAAAACCAAAAATCTCAAAAATTAGCCGTTTTGGATATGCCATTATATACACTATTTGGGTCGATATCAGACACTTTTAGGGTCGATTATGGCACAATTTAATACCTTGAAATTCCTGACAATTATCCAAGAGTCTCCATTAACATGTGTTGTCACTCACAAAGTTAGAAAACACTGATATGAGAAGTATATGTTGATAAAATGTGTGCACACTTATCTTTGGTAGTTTCTGTCGTGATAAGCATGTCGAACAGGTGAAGGCACTTGAGTGGTGGCCGGGTGAAGATACACAACTTAGGAGACAGACAAACGAACAAGTCTACTGCAGTTATACAAGATGAAGAATTTGAACCTGATGATATAGAGTTGACTAGTGATGAGGATAGTGCTTCTGAAAGGGTAGAAGCTATCGTGGATGTTTTACTAGATGATTAGATGATATGAAGTATTCGAATAACCGATGGGAGGCTGTCTACGCAAGTGTGTTAGCAAGGACAGACAGAAGAAAGTGGTTGGAAGCAAAGAAGATCTGATTAGGAACCGATGGTATAATCATGAAGTCTTTCTTCAGTATGAACCCAAAGGTAGTAAATCCTAAACCCTAAACCCTAATACCGAGATGGGCAAAAAACAAAACGCCCGAAGGGCTTTTTCCATTGGCTGATAGGTGCCGCAGACGGCGTTTTGGCGGGGGTTTTGTTGGCAAACATTGCTGCAAACAAATATTGTATGTAAATTCACTAAATATTTATTTATCATGTGTCTGAATCGTGTGTATATTCTTTTCTCCGCAGTAGGGTCGACTGTTTCAATGAGTAGTCACAAAGGCGCACGTAATGATAGTGGCCGTAAGAGGTGTTCTTCTTTACGCTTGCGATATCACACATTTTGATGACTCTTCTATAATTTTTGTGGATTAATCTGCGTACGATGAATCAAGTCGGTAGCGGACTTGAACTAGGATCATACGTACTGATACGTTTTGCAAACACGAGCTTTGCATATACTTGGCAAACTTTTAAACCACCATACTAGATTTCAACAAAACTAA